CCCTCTGGCAACAAGTATGATTTTTCCTTTTCTCCAGTGTTTCAAAATTTCATGGCAACATGTCTTAGTATGTGTGTAGTTTTATTAATTCTGTAAGGTAGTTAACTTCCCTTTGGCAACTCATTTTCCAGTACTGGGAACTGTTCTTGAGTTACGTATTGATGGTTTCCTCCCCTGTTTTGGTCTGTTCTCGCTTTCTCTGATGCCCAGTGGTTAGATGTTGGACCTCTCAGGCTGGTCTTGTCATCTTGTCTTTCTTCTGTTTTCCCATCACTTTGTTTTTTCTGTTGTGCTTTCTGGGATATTACTTTAGCTTTTTCTTCTTTCCTTTCTGTAGAATTGAACTCTTTATTTCTTTTGTCATGTTTTAAGTTTCTAATAGTTTTTTTGTTTATTGAATATTCTTTAGTAGCGAATAGCAGAGGGAATATGAGAAAGCAGGAGAGGAAGGAGTTGTTTTCTCTCCTCTACCTGATCAGCATGATACGCCTGCCCTCCACTCTGCCAGACAGTCTCAGTTCAGAGATCATTCTTACCACAATGTTTCCGCCAGGCTAAGAGGGAAAGCTGTCCCCTGGGCTACATCAGATGAGAGAAAGAGGTTGGAATCTGAGTCTAACCATCTCTTCAACAGATTTAAAACCGGTCATCCTTGTCTTCACCTGTTTTTAATTCCATCTTTGCCTTCACTTCTGGAGGTATCTGGTGTCTTATTCTTTTGCCAGCCTCCTCTGACATAAATTTGGTTGGCCCTTAACTTTCATCTACATGGGATTTGGTTTTCTTCATTCTCTGTCAGTTACCACTCAGTTACCACTAGCTTTTTAGCTTTGAAAGTTTGTTGCTTTTATCTTTTCTCTCATTCTCTCTTTCCTTGTAGGCTTTTACCTTTTAAAAAATTCCTTGTTTTTGTTTTGTTTTGTTTTTTGTTTTTGTGGAATTTTAAGAGGGGACAAAGCCAAATGGATGCGTTTAAGCTGCCTGTTTTCACAGGAAGTTAGCCCTTAACTGTTGAACCTGTCGAAGTGTGGATGTTCTCCCCACAAAGATCTCAGATTATTTCCTAATTGGCTACTGAGTGGATTCTTTTCTGCTCTTATCCTATTTAACCTTGCAGTTAATACTGTAGTCTACTCATTCCTTCTTCAAACTCCTGTCCCCTGATGTTCTGTGATACCAGGACTCTTACCTCAAGCTGCTTCTTCATACACTCCTGCCTGCTCTCCCCTCAGCTTCAGTGTTCTATGATAAATACTGTGTGTGGTCTTATCCAGTTTCATGATTTTTGCGATTATCTGTCTCTGTGATTTTCAAATCTGAGCTCCAGCTTAGTGTCACCACCTGTTTAAAAGAATTCTCACCTCGGTTGCCTCACTGACTCCTCACACTGAACTTGGTTCTCCTTCCGCACCTTCCAGTTGTTGCCGCCGCCGCCGCCGCCAATGGCAGCTCCCCTGTCCCCACCTCTCCCTTCTTTGATCTGTTCTTTGGGAATGACGTTACTGCCTAGCTGTTTTCTCAGCCCGTTAACTGAGGAGTTTCCTCAACTCCTCCTCCTTGATCACCACCATTTGTCTGTCACCAAGTTCTCAGTTTTCTGTTTCCTACTGGGGTGCCTACTGGCTAGTTCAGGCCTCCGTCACACCTGGATTAATGCAGTGATTTTCTAAGTGGTGTCTCTAATTCTGGCTCCGTTTATTCTGTCCTGCGAGTTGCTGCCATAGCCACCTGCATGTAATCCTTCAGCGTAGGGTTCAGACTGCTTGCATGGCACAGATGGCCTGTCCTGCCTGCCTCTGACTGGTCTCCTGAAGTCTCTCCTCATTCCTTAGTTGTTGTAGCCAGACCATCTCTTTGTGCTTCATTAAACATGTCAGTGGTTTTGAACATGAAGTATATTC